ATTTGCCTTTATTAAAAACAACATGCATTAAAAGTGGCATTTAATGTTGTATCTCAATTCACAATCAATGGTCTCTCAATTTAATTGCACCTAAAGTATGACACTAAGTTTTGTCCTTATTTACCAACTGGGCCAAGCTTGGTACTGTATATGTGACCATAAACCATCATTTTTCTTCCTTAGAAGAGTGTTACATTAATATGAATATAAAAAATGTTCCTTGGAATAGTGATAATACAATTGTTTCTAAGTTTATTTTGAATTGGATTGGTGACCTGCAATGGTTTTTGAGAAAATAATTAGGGAATTTTTGACCAGAAATGTCCAAAAAGAGACTGAAACGTTTGATAAACACAAATAAGGTTTTGCTTCATTTGAGGGCAAAGATGAAAGTAAAGAAAACAAAATTTGCTGGCCACCATTTTGGCTATCATCGCTAATTAGAAGTGAAAGGAATTAATAGAGATTCTGATTGTTATCCCTCAAAACACCAACCCTCATTGGTCAAAAGAGGGTCCACTCTGATATCAATGATTATTATTTATTCCAATGCTAAAATGACACAATCCAGATTTCAAAAGAGGGTAGTTGTATCTTAACATTGCAGCAACATTTTTTTATTAATAGAAATTATAATTACAGTATCAAAGTTTATATTTAACATCATATGTATTTCTTTTATTATAATTACAGAATATAATACATTTGCATAGTTCGAGTCACTCTTTGTTGAATTATTAATTATTAGTTCAGCTAAGTTACTATTATGCATTGTTGTATACTTTTTGCTTTAAGTTTGTATACAAAGTATAATACTGGACTAGTTTAATCATTGTAGTTACATGCAACACTTCCAATAAGAGAAATCATGAAACATTTTAACTTATACATGCCAATTTTACTACTAGATACTAGGAGAGATTATTGTCCTTATGCACTGAAATGATTCGAATTAAACATGATAAGATGTTTCTCAGACAGTGTACAGTATGTAGGTATAATCCCACTCTTTCATCATTCATTATTCTTTTGAAAATACATGTGCATTTGAATCATCAAATGAGCTGTTGAGACACTAACCTACACAAAAAGAGAAACAAAATGCGCAATTGATGGATAAAAGGGAAAAAAGTGGAAGAGGTGAAGAAAAGGTTCACAATCACCCCAATAGAGTTAAATTGGTAGCAAAATAATTGGTAATGTATATCTAATCCCATTTGATGGGGCTTAAGGTGCAATAAGAAGTAGTGGGTCCATGAGCATGAGCATGATCCCATGAGTATATAGATAAAAAAGGCAAGGAGGGAGAGGGTGATTGTGAATGATATTTTTTGCTTGATGGGGAACAAAAGAGAGAAAGATGAAAGAAGAGGAGGTGGAGGTGAAGGTGCCTAGAGGATGGTGGGTGTGGTGGTTGTGTCTCATTATATGACTTTAGACAAACATGTGATGCATTTAATTATGTCTATGCCTCTCAATTTTGTGGTCCCTCCTCTTTCTGCTTGGTGGTGCTCCTCTTCTCCTTCCAATTTATTGTTACATGGTTTTGTATTTCTTAATGCATAGTGTGTTTTGTATTTCTTAATGCATATTGCTACATAAATATGCAAGTTTAATATAATATGTATATTTAATTACAATAATATATTATTAATGATAAGTTGTCAAGTTTTATAATAGTTATTTTAAAAGTTATATAAGATTCTTGATTGATTGTATGAAATTTTTTACACCTGGAATAATCGATTACATTTAATGATAATCGATTATTTTGAGTTAGTTTTCAAAAACTCAGTTTTATATCTCAAAATAACTTTCCAAGTATTTAAATCATCATCATACTCACTCTCAGTCAAATTAGATTATGAAAGTTTTGATGATAACAAAAGGTGGATTCTAAGAATCAAAGCTGACCAAGGACATCAACAAGTCAAAAACAAGTCAAGAAAAAGATATGACTATTATGTGTAATAGGGATAGTTCATAAGTTGTATTGATTTGTTACGTGTTGGTCAACGTGACCGATAGGGACCTTCCGGTACACCATGTTTTTCTAAGACATTGGTCATCCACTATATTAATTGTATTATTTAGCTCATCTGATAACTTAATAGTTAATATATTCCCTCCATTTTTTATTCATAGTCGTTTAAAGTTTTGCACGAGACTTAAGAAAATGATTGATATTTTAGTTTTCAAAAATATTTATTACTTACTTTCCTATTCTATCCTTTATTTTTTTTTATAGTATTTCGTTGGAAACATATTGCCCTTTTAAATGCAACATTAACTTCACATAGGTAGTTAGAGAAAAAATAGGTAGACATTAGAAATAAATAGATACATTGTTCAGTAAACATACATTAATTATCAAGGGTAAAAATGAGAAAGAAAAATTAATAAGTCATTGATTTTAGTAAAATAACAATGAAAAAAAAATGACAAATTCTGACAAAACGACTATGAATAAAAAACGGAGAGAGTAGTATTTAGCGAAAGTGATAAATATTAAATAAATATTAAATTCTACGCCGCTAAGTGTTAGCAGATAATCCATATCAGTATTTCAGTTAAATATTAGATTATATGTTAGCTGATGTATCAAGATTGCATTATTAAAATAGTGAGGAGATCAAATTAACCCAAAAAAAAAATGAAAGAACAAAATTCAAGAAATGATAATAAGAGGAATATTAGTTTTGCTCTCTTTAACACTCACTCTAATGCTCCTATATTATTTACTGAAATTTATTGAAAATTTCAAACTTTATGGGTTTGGTATTTGATTTAATGAGTTTTTGTTTGACCTACCAAAACTTTCGATTTTCAACTAATGGTAGAGAGTATTAGTAAAAGAGTGTGAGGGAAAGTGTCACTAATATTTCTCCCGACAATAATAAAGAAAAAAAAATACAATTAAGTTAAAAGTTAAGGAATGTGCATGACTTCTATTATATTTGGTTTCCTGTAGGTAGTAGAACACCCAAATCTGATTGGAAGAAAATGATGGATTGCCATTGAATGTGGAAATGAACATGCAAACAAGCACACATTTCTTCCTATTTTCTTCTTACATACTCAGTTCTAAACATGGTATAGAGTAAATTTTTTCATGTATAAGTATATGATTCTTGAGAATCATGAAAATCTATTTAGTTGGTCATAAATGCTTCAGAAATGTATTTAAATATTAATTAAGAATAAAAAAAATTTACCCCATTGAATAAATAAATAAAGGTAACATACTGCATTAAAATTTTGTTTTTATTTCGGAAAAGTTAATTTTCACCTCTCCATGAGAAGTAATTTTATGGAAAATTTATGTAAAAATCATTCTTAAAAAATAATATTTTCTGGAAATGTTATTTTCTAAATGACAAACTAACCTCTCAAAAAATTAACATTTTCGATGTTAGACTTTTGAGAAAGTAAAAATTTTCTAAAAGCCCCCTTAGTAAATAACCGAGAGGAAGTGTCTCGAAAAATAATAAAAAATTTATTACAGCAGCAAGTTTATGGCACCGAATGCTACTGTTTGTTTGGTTGGTGGTAATTATGTATAAATTTTATTTTATTTTTATGTGATTATTTATTCAATTAAAATATTTTTCCAAATTTTAATTAAATATTATTGATAAAAATATGTTTTTAATTTCATCAAAACTTATCCCAGTTCCTACATTTTAAAAATAGTAATTATGGCCTCATTTTCTAGGACCGATTTGGATATTCACAACTATATGGCTCTGGACTCTGCATTCATCTTCACGATCACTTTATTGATTCCTCCAAGCAATCGGTGATTAAAAGAATTCAATATTTGAATTTTATTAATTTTATAATATATGCATATATTTTATTATAACTAGTACCCATGCCATGCGGATGCTTACATATTTTCTTTTTAATATTATAATTCTTAACATAACGTAAGATACAAATTAAAATTATTTTTTTTTTAGTAATATTTTTAACACGAAAATAATATATTTAATATGTTTTCTTTTCTTTTTGTCCTTACACGTAGAGATACAATATGCTGTTCTTACAAAAATATGGATATTTTCACCCAAAAAAACAATATGGACATACAATAATGTGGTCTTATTATGCATTTTTTACCTTTGTAGTTTGAAATAAAGTGAAAAGATTTTATTTTAATAGTTAATAACAATAGGTTATTTAAGAGAAAAAAAATGTCACAAACATTCATTTAATTGAGTAATTGAAGGGTCATATATAATTTATATATATATATATATATATAATTAAAAAAAAAATTGATGATCATACATTGTCAATATATAAGTTTATAAGTTTTTACAATGTTAACTAATAAAAAATTACTATTAACATGAATTTCAAGATAAATTTGTAAAAATCAACTAATTTATCATAATTTAATAAATAATAATTTGTGATTAGACGATTGAGTAAAATTATTTTATATTGTGAGAACTTTTTTCATGAAAAAGTATCCAAGAAAAAAATAACAGATAATTTTACAAGTATAATTAGTCTCCAACTATTATTAGATATAAAAAAAAAATAGTATGCTAATTAACTAGCTAAAATATCAATACTACATTTTGTTTCTATATATTATAAAAAGATTTTAGCAATTATGTTTTCTATTAACTGTTGTAACTTGATATTTTTTAAGAAGTGTTACTCAGTTAAAGTACAAATTTTTTATATTTTTTTACAATGATGTTTTTGACCTTCTTCTTTAAGTGGTTTGAGTCTATAACTAGGACTAGTGTTCACTAATTTGTTATTTAGTTTTCTTCTCTAATAAGAAAGGAGGTGATGATGATCTTCAGTAGAGTCCACGTGCAAGTCCTCTAGCACAAGTGGTTTTGGGTGGATGAGTCATGAGTAGGATAAGAAAGGAGACACGCAGCACTACCTAGGAGCATTCTCTTTGCCAACTAATCTTCAAATCATGTTTTCTTAAAAGCTGTGGAGTGTTCTTTGTTTTTTCTTCTAACTATATTTATAAACTATGCATTGTGCGTATGAGACAATGTGCCTACACATTTAAGGTGACTTAGTTTGTTTGTTATATAGTGTTGTTGCAGTTTTTGCTGAGCCTAGCCTGTGTATTCTTCTCAGTTCTCCTTCCATGTAATTTCTGAATTGCTTGGTTTTCATGGTTTGAACTTGTATACTGTGATATGAGTGGTTATTTTTGTTCTTAAAACCTATGGGGCTGTTATGCTGACTAGAATGTAGGGTCCTTGCATTTGGTTGAGTGCAAACATATATCCAAAGTTCAAACTAAAATTCTGATGCCTCAAGGGCACTGTATGTGAAATGCTAATCTTTTCTGTCTTTATCACTATTATCAATTTTCTTTCTTCCTTTGTTAGATTGATTTATGAAGGAATATTATATGATTGTATAGCATTAAAGTCTGGACATAGGGTAATAGTCCAAACTACAAGCAACCATTAAATTATTTTGCATTTGATTTTTCATCATAGGAATGACTTGTTAGAATTCACATGTTGATGAGATTTCTCTCTACTCATTATCCATCAATCCTAGTCTTGAAAGCCTTTTAGATAAACATTGTTAAAATTGTATAACATTAAAGTCTGGACATAGGGTAATAGTCCAAACTACAAGCTACCATTAAATTATTTTGCATTTGATTTTTCATCATAGGAATGACTTGTTAGAATTCACATGTTGATGAGATTTCTCTCTACTCATTATCCATCAATCCTAGTCTTGAAATCCTTTTTAGATAAACATTTTTAGAAACATTTCTAAAATTAAAGAAATAGGAAGAAAAGTTGAAATAAATTTTTCCATAATCTAGAAACACTTTTAGAAGAAAAATATATGAAGAATAATCAAAATAAACTTCTTTTAGTTTTAACTTATGCATAAGTTAAAGTATAAAAAAAAAAAATAGGAAGAAAAATTAAAAAAAAAATCTTCATAATCCAAAAATACTAATAGAAGAAAAAAAATTGGAAAAAAAATCAAAATAAATTTTTTCATAAACTAAAACCATCTTATTTATAAGTTTAAAAAAAATATATTTTGAAGAAGTTAGAGCTTTTTATGGTGAAAGGTTATTCCATTTATCCTTCCTATTTTTCTCTCTTAAAAGTGTTTCAGCAAAAGTTTACTCAAACAGAACTCAATATGTTTTTCTTTTGTTGGTTATCATTTTGAACTTTAATTTTATTGTATAAACTTATCATCTTTTGTAACATGATTCAATCTTTCTCAGAAAAATATTCCAGACAAAATGACATTTAAGAGAGACTTTAAACAACAAATGGTGCTTGAGTGGGAGAAAGAATACATGGACTATGAAGGCCTCAAAAGAATATTGAAAGAGATCAAATGCAGCAAGCAAGCTACACACAACAGGTCCTTGCAGCACAGACTGAGGCTTGAAAGAGCATTCAGTGGAATACACTTGCATGGTAGCAATCATGAGAGAGAGGGGGATGTTGAAGAGCAGGTTATAGAAGTTAAGACATTAGAACTAGATGGTTCCAAACAGTTATATAAGACTGAGTTTCAGAAGCCCCATGAAGAAGGGGGAGAGGCTGAGGCAAGACTCTTTCAGAAGCTTGATGAAGAGCTCAACAAGGTCAATGCATTTTACAAGGATCAGGTGGAGGCAGCTAAGCATGAAGCAAACCTTTTGAGTAAACAAGTAGAGGCTTTGGTTGCACTAAGGGTAAAGGTGAAAAGTCCTGATTCAGGTAAATGCAAAATTCAAACAGTGCTTCTATTTTGTTTGTGTTCAAGCCAGAGAATACTCTTACTAATGAGTCCTGAAATCTCTAGAGAACTCAAGGAATCTCAATAAGTTTTGTTGTGGCTAACCTAACACCATGGCAGCACATCTATTTATTGAATGTGCTCTTTAGAATCCACTATATTGGGCCTAGGATAATATGCTAACCCGTCCTCTATTAGATGGTCTATAGCTCCTCAAGTGTCAAGCTTGAAAGGTACAGACGAACCTGTTTGAATACAAGCTAGAAGTTCTTTTAAAAGTTTCTCTACTCGAAAAAAAAACTCTTTATTTTTAGTAGAGAAGTTTTCAAAAACTCTTCTAAACTTGTATCAGACTCAGTTCTATTGGGTGGAATTATTTGCTTTTAGGAATGTACATCCAGTTTATGTTTTTTTATGTTGCCATGCACCTGTGAATATCAGGAATGTATCATTCAGAAGAACTCACTGACACTCATAGTGGAAATTTAGTTACTGTTAATCAGTGAAATTAAACTCCAGAGTAAAATATGTCTAGAAGACTGAATTTGAACTGAATATGTAGGACTGAAGCAGAATATCTCCTCGCCTGAAGAGACCAAGGATCAAAATCATCAGCAAAAAGATTCTATGGTTGGCCTTGAGGTTGATCATGTTCAACAGGCCAATAGAAACACTCATCATGAGGAGCAAGGAGAAGCACACAATAATTACAACACAAGAGATCCCCTGGAAATCCTTGAGCACGTAAAGGTTGACAATGTTCTTCAATCTCCAATATCAACAATTAAAAAAGCTTTGGCTGATTCCAGTGATAATGAATTGAGCCTCAGCAAAATGTACCTGAGGAAAACAGAAGAGCAACTTAGACTTGTGTTTATCGAGTTCTATCAGAAACTCCTCCATCTCAAAGATTATAGGTAATAAACAAACAATGGGACCTTACTAATTTCTAATAAAGTCAAATAGTCTTCCATTTCTAAATCAGTCTTGCCACGTGCTTTTGTATTTGTACAAATGGATGCAACAGTTTTATGAATCTCTCAGCATTTTCCAAGATCATGAAGAAGTATGAAAAGGTTAGAAGTATACTTAGTACCTGAGAAGCTTCAGTTTTCTTGGCTGTTCTTTACAAATTTAAATTGGACTTGAGACACTTAAAAATACATCGCTCTGCTCAGAAACAGAACTCTGACAATGTTTTTTACCTTCATTTTCTTTTATTTTTTTAATATGTTTGCTTGCAAAAGCATACATCAAGAACAGCATCTGCAGCATACATGACAGTAGTGGATAACTCTTATTTGGGCAATTCTGATGAGGTTGGTTTGAATCATATCTTTGTTATATCCACAGTATCATTCATGATTGTTTCTCTCTTGTTGTGTTGTGTTTGTGGAGTTAGTCTAAAGTGGAGAAAAAGCATAGTTGGTTCTTTTCTCCTTTACCTAGAGTATCAATCATCATGTTGGAAAATTATTGCTATAGCTTAGTCTTCACAGAAATAAACATCCTACGGTATGAAAATCTTAATTGATAGTTCTTGAATATGAAAAATTAATTGGGATGAAGGTAAGTTCAGCTTGATAGCATCTTTATTTTTTGGCAACTTTCATAGGAGAACTTTATAGATTTACATTCTCTAATGTTTAAATGAATAGACAAGATACATTTATTTCACTAGGTGATCATGTACGGATGCTTTTTTAGAACTTATATTGCTGTCGGGATATCATTGGAATTAAGTCTGTGTTTATTGTGATTATGTTGCACCTTTCTTCTTATTGATTATGTTAAGTTTCCGGATTGTGTGATCTAGAAAAATAGCTTGCTATCATTTTAATATGAATCTGTTATTTGGAAAACTTTGTAGTCATTCATAGTTGCATGTAGGAACTGAATAGGACTAAACTCAAAATAGATGTATATATCACTATGGAATAGTTCAGATAAACAATCATCAAATGTTTTCCTTTTCCTTCTACTTATGTTAATCACTTAATCTGCACATTTCCATTCCAATTTAGGTCAGGGACTCACAGGCCATTGGCCAAAGTTCTTGAACTAATAATCCAAAAATCTTTCATTTGGAAATACCTTGTGAACATACATTGTGTCTTTAAGACGATACACAATTCACTTTCTATTGTATTAATTTAATCAGAGACGGGAAGAGACACTTTATAATTGAATGTAAGTTACAATGCAATGTATGCCCTTGACCAAGTGAAGAAATCCAATAAATTTCCAAAAGGAGCTGCTATGCTACTTGTTGCATTCTGTCCAAATGAACACATTTTGTTGCATTCTTTCCAAATGAATCCAGTAATGCTGTCTGTTTTATCTGATTTTAGGTTAATTTTCTTTTGGAGAAAGTGGAGTCTACCTTCATCAGAAACTTTACACACTCGAATCACAAAAAGGGGAGGAAGTTATTAAGGCAAAAAACAAAAACAGAAAGGCACAGCATAACATTTTTTACAGGTAAATGCTAAATAACACAATGTTGATTAAATAATAGAATGTAAATGATTAAATTGAAGTATTACTCTGAGTCATTTATTGACTCATGTGTACCTTGCCTTGTTACCTATAGGTTTCCTTTCTGGTTGCTTTGTTGCTCTATTGGTTGCTACTATATTAAGAATAACATCTCAACAAGTAATGAAGAAGCAGAAGGGAACATTTTATATGGAAAACATTTTCCCACTATACAGGTGACAGTATTTTATAGAAACATGATTAGAGAATCTACTATTGCTTTTATTCTATTTTCCTTAATCCTTAATATTCATGATGACTTGTTCTCTTTACTTCCAAATCAGTTTTTAAGATGGGAGTATTTTTTGCAGTCTGTTTGGATATATCACTCTACATATGCTTATGTATGCTGCAAACACATATTTTTGGAAGCGTTATAGGATCAATTATCCATTCTTATTTGGCTTCAAGCCTGGAACTGAATTGGACTATAGAGAAGTTTTCCTTCTGACAGCAGGTCATGGAGTGGTAGCGCTACTATGTTTCTTGATAAATTTGCAGCTCGAGATGAACCCAAGTAATCGACACTATAAGACAGCCACTGAACTTGTTCCTCTGACCTTAGTTGTTGTAAGATGCCTACTTTGGATTTAACTTCTTAAGATCTATTTGGATAAATTTCTCTATTAACAAGAAAACAGAAAATAAATAAACAAAGTAAGTTCCTCTATAACTTAGAATTAGTTTATAATATAGAAATTATTTGGATACAAGTTTAAAAGGGTTTTTGAGAGTTTCTCTACCGAAAAAAAAAAAGAAACTCTTAAAAAATCTTTTAAACTTGTATCCAAAGAGACTCATAAACCTCAAAACCTTATTTTTTAACTTATGCATAAACTTTAGCTTATGGAAAAACTTCTTTCATTTTTCCTTCGTATTTTCTTCTTCTGAAAGTGCTTATGAAGAAGTATATCTATAAAGATCCTTAATTGACTATTTTATATATACTTTCAGAAGTACACTTGCCTTGACCATTGATCCTCACCACAATTTGCCCTCAACTATACTTCAGTAACCACTTCAGTTTAATAAACTCTTGGTTTCTTGTGCAGCTTGTTCTTCTGATTACCTTTTGCCCTCTGAACATCATATACCACTCAAGTCGTTTCTTCTTTGTCAGATGCTTATTTCACTGTTTATGTGCTCCTCTTTTCAAGGTAACGGAAAGAAACATGCAAATTTTGAATGACACAATTAAATTGACTAGATGCAACTCAAACTAACTTATATTTGCAGGTTAGTCTTCCAGATTTCTTCTTAGCTAGTCAGCTTACTAGCCAGGTATTTTGCTCCCATGGATTATTTATTCATGTGTCACTAACATGCATATATTCCATTTACATATTCTAATATATTGTTCCATGTTCTACTTTTGGATTTAGTTCCAAGCCTTCAGGAGTTTTGAGCTTTACATATGCTATTATGGCCTTGGAGAACACTCAATGAGGCAAAAGAAATGTCACAATCGTGGTTCCTATAACGTAATGTATTTCATTGTTGGCATCATTCCTTATTGGTTTCGCCTAGCACAGGTCCATACAATCTTTTCTTTCCACATGCCTTCTAATATCTATGTGCATCATGGCATTGTTTGCAGTGATAAATAAGCAAAGTATCTTCTTCCTTTGAATTTATGAGGTTAGGCCTTTGGATGGTTGTAACTTTATGATTGGTAGAAAAGATAAATTTTTGGTTGAAAGGAACTTTGTACGGTTGAAGTGTTGAAGGACAATTTCTGATTGAACAATGTTAACAATTGTGACAGCTTATGTTTGATGAGGCTCCTGTTCGTCCTTTCTAGTCCTAGAAGAATGGTTTGCAAAACTAATTTGAATTTGAATAAAAAATGACAACCGCATCCATTCCTGTATCTGAAGTCCATAGCAACAGTACATATGAAGAGCTATATCTAATTAGAACACATTATCCTTACTTTTCTCTTGTTTCATGCTGTCTTATGATAATCAAGGTTTCTAAGTTCTAACTCATGCTGAGGTATGTCTCACTGATATACAAAAGCAACTTCACTAACTTAGCATATCATATTTGTGTAGTGCATGCGACAATTCTATGATGAGAGAGATATCAACCGTGCATTCAATGGTTTAAATTATCTCTCAACAATTGTTGCCATGGTCTTCAGGACTACCTTTGAACTAAAGAAGGGAAAGGGTTGGAAGGTGTTGGCACTTGTAACTTCAGCACTAGCAGTAGTTCAGAACACATATTGGGACATTGTCAAGGACTGGGGGCTCCTAAGAAGGCATTCAAAGAACCCTTATTTGAGAGATAAACTCGTAGTTCCACGCAAAAGTGTCTATTTCATAGCCATGGTAATAAAGTGACCAAAGTTAAAAAAAAAAGGGTGTGTATTCTTCTTCTTATTGTTCTTGGATATTAATTCAATGATCTCTTTGCAAATCCACAGGTCCTGAACGTAGTTCTTAGAATTTCCTGGATGCAGTTGGTGTTTGAAATGGATTGGAGTCCTCTTCATAAAGTGGCAATAATTACAGTAACTTCCTGCCTTGAAATTATTCGCCGTGGCATTTGGAACTTCTTTAGGTAACATCTTTGACATAAAACTTTATGGCATTGGCTCTGGTATGAGTCTGTTTAGATAAGTTTCTTCAAAGGTATTTTTGGCTTATGAATAAGTTAATTTGTAGAAATTCTCTCCAAATGGCTTCTTCAAAATCTTATGTATAAATTAGTTTTAACTTATTGAGAAACTTATTTTAATTTATTCTTTTTTCTATGTTTCTCTCCTAGAAGTATTTTTTGAGAAGTTTACACAAACAAATCCCATGTATATATATGTATGAGACATGCTTGAATAGTTTTTATATCATGAGTAGTTCAAGTGTAATGAAGGAAGATATTGCATGACACTTTGTGATAACTCAGGTTGGAGAACGAGAACTTGAACAATGTTGGAAACTACCGTGCCTTCAAGTCTGTGCCACATCCTTTTAGTTATTATGATGAGAAAAATGATGACAAGGATGACTAGTGGCACCCTACTCCAGTGCATGATTGCAGCAGCTAGAAATTCAAAGCAAAATTGTACTTTTAATTGGATATGAAACAGTGAGAAAGAAGCTAAGATGTTAACAAGTTGGCAAGATGAACATAGGTATAAAAAAATGATTTAATAGGATATTTGGCTTTTACTTCTTTAAAGAAAAATCTTGGTTAAAAAAAAATAGTTCAGCGAGGACATTCACAGCAGCAAAGGAATTTTTGTTCAAGTTAGCAATTCTGTCTTGGGCAATTAACGTTCATTTATATGGGTACAAGTTATAGTAAGCATTCTATTTAGATCACTTTTTTTTTCTTTTTTTTTCTCGTTGCCAATGTTTTAGAATAACGAAAAAAAAAAAAAATATATATATATATATATATATATATATATATATA